TCCGTTTAATAAAAAATCGAATTAATGACGTTTTATATTCTTAATAAATAAAATGTTTCATCGGGTTAATGTAGAAATTTATTTACTTTCTACAAAGGAGAGTTTTTCTTTCAAGATTTAATTTTAACTTCAGTGGTTGAAATCATAAGTCCGTTGAAGCTAGACCGCCATCGAAAACCTGGAAGCACTGAATGGTCACAATTGATTGATCACTGGGTGGTGATCAATGTCATGCGTGTCTAGTCCTTATTAGTGCACATCGAATGCTATCAACACGAAATCGAATCGATAGGGAGCACCAGTTCCCTCAAGATTACAGGTACACCTTGCTGACGAGTGCCAAGTAGCATGAAACCCGGGTCCAGGGTTTCCTGTTGACTACCTCCAACTACCATCTAGCACTGAATGGCCTAATCTTCCTCTTGTGGGACTTCTCAGCAGTACTCATCCATTTAATTTTAACTGAAGAAATTTAAAAAATAAATAAAAAGTCATTAAAAATTACTGTTCTGATATTGTCTGGAACTTTTTACCAATGTATACATAAGAGGTTTACACTTGAGATTAAGCCTACAGGATTCGGATACATTTTGTTAATTATCATAACCGTTGGAGACATGTGTGTGCAAAACTATGTATACATATTCATTTCGATTATCCATGACTGTGTATAACAATGTGTGATATGTTTCAATATATATAAATGAATGAATGAATGAATCATAATAATTTGCATAACCTTTCTTTAAAGATATTACTTAAGATTTTGTAAATTTTAGTGATAATTCATTTTATCGATACACTTTGATGAATAATAATCTATGCACTGTAATCATGGTCTTTGTTGTTGAATAGGTCTAAAAAAAAGAAACAACATTTTACTTACCTCTATGATAATAATTCAACTGTATATTTAGATATTCACTGTGGTTTAAACCGTTTATCTATACTCCCTCCCCCTACGCATTATTGTTCAATTATTCACACTTTCCATTTCTACACTTCTCAAACTTGTCCCCTCAATAGCATTAATAGTTTTAAAGAAGGTATAAACGTTTATTATTGTTAGACACTGATCACCACTCAGCGATCAATAAATGAAGTATAATTGACGTTTTTCGCCTATTTCTAATTGATTTGCAATTTGATCACTATGAAAATTTAACAAACTACTTACTATATTTTTTTCAAAAAATACCACTAATCACGAAACTGTCTACGTGTGACACGTTCAGTGCTGATAGTCATGTTATTTTATCACTGTTGCTGATGATAATCATAATAATTATCGGTTTTTAATAAAAAGAATTGTACAAAGTAATAGTATTTTCAGATGATTTATCAGTGGAAGTAACAGCCTGACTAGTTTACTGTAGTATTCTCAATCCCTACACATATATCTGCACATATTGACATTCATGGTCTAATGAGGGACCTAATTACTAAGAGATCAGGTTGTCTAATTTTTACTATAACGTGTCAATTCTTTCTTTAAAGCATTATAAGCAGAGATGGATAGTGGCTAGCAGTGGAATCTATGACGCGCGTTTCGTCCTGTTTGTGACTCGTCAGCTGGATGTACCTGCATCTCAGAGTTGATGTTCACTCTGGAACTCGAACTCAGTACCGTTCGCTTCAAACGCCATCGCGTTATCCACTTAGCTACTGAGTCCTGATAGCCACTTCTTTAAAGGATAACTTCAGTGATATTTTCCTAATTCCTGTGTTCACAATAACATTTAGTGTTACCTGATTGACTGTTATGCCTTTTTGCTTGTTTTGTTGTGCATCCCACCAAACATAAATTGTGTTTAAAATGATATTTTCTGAGCATCTTATCTGATCAACTAGTAAATTATACTAATGAAATTTGTCATCTGACTTTTGCTAATAATAAAATACCTACATCTTTAGGTTGACGAATCCTAAATAAGACGAAACGCGAGTCCTAAATTCTGCTACTAACCATATTCGATCTATTCTATATATGCCTAGTTTGAATTAAATACATGAAATGTAATTTCATAATATCCTCGTCTCTCTTTTTCCTAACCATAAAATGTAATTTACCACCAATAAACTAGTATCGATTGATTCATTAACTGTAAAATCTATTTCACTATCTATCTACCATCATTATGAGAGTCATATTAAAAACATCCTTTCTTTTTAACTCAAATTATATGTTCTTCTCAATATTCTGAATTGACATATTTCGGGGGGGGGGTGATTACATTCTATTGGTTTAAGTACAAGATTTATGTTAGATATACTTACTAATATCATTATGAGATGTCCACAACAACAACAACAATAATAATAACAAGAAAACAAAACAAAATGTCATACTAGGATGAAACGGTCGTCCAGTGCTTCCAAGGTTTTAATGGTAGTCTAACATCAATCGGTTCACGATGTTAATCCATCAATGAAATGATTGATTTCTTTCAAAAAGGGGTTACATTTAAAAATTATTTTACAACTGACTCATTATCAAAGTATGCTGAGTATTTAGTTTACTTTGGCATTATATTAAATTATGTAAAATGTTAGTTTAATGTTTAACTTTTTAATCATAATAACATTGAATGAATTACTATTGAAAGTAAATAAGAACTGAATAATGCCATTCATTCTAGACTAATCTAAACTAGTGATATATTGAAATTCAAGGAGTACTTGAGTACTACTTTCTTACTTCTGTTTAAAACTTCTCAGTAGTTATCGGTAATAAGAAAAATAAATAATTTTAAACAAAAGATTTGAATCATAGTTAGAATGATTGATCTAGACTAGTCCTCATGATAACCGTGATCAGTAGTTGGAGATTTGGGATAAATCAGTCACGGTGACCTAGATGTATGTACTCTTTATTTTTTCTTAGATCTTGAGCTTAAGTCTTTCTTTGTGTATACATTTCCATTCTGTTCATTTGAATTATATTCTCGATATCTAATCTTTCTTATTACCAGTACAATTAAATTCTATTTCATCTCCTTTGTTACTCACTTTTTTTAGTTTCATTTTGTTGTACTAATGATGTAAGGGAACTTCAGCTAACTCTTTTCTTGATTAAACTGTACCGAGTCAATGTTTGGGTAACTGGGGGGGGTATTCATTTATTTATTTGAACACATAAATATTGGTACAAAGAGGGACCAAATAGATATGCGCCGCACAAGTCACTTGACTTGTGTGTGGGCAGTGATACTGCCTGGGTTCCGAGACCGAAGCAGGTGGTTCTCTTAGGGAGCCATACCTGGAGCCTTTGACCTGAACGTCTGATCCGCAAGGTAGTGGAGCATCGTAAGGAGATGCAGTCCTATGGCAGCCGGTGACCAACGATTGGTTCATATGCCATTTCTTCCTCCAGGATACTGGAGCCCATGTGCACCATTGGTTTAGAATCAGTGCTTTCCAACTCCCCTAGGTGGACTCTCCATGTCCACCAACTCGTTTAAAGCGCGGGACATTTGCTTTTCGTCCTCTTAATTTCGTAAACAACACCCCCGCTACGAGAAGGCAGTAAATACGACTTCTCTGGCAGAGGCTATATACGTGTAGCCATATGAGAGCATTTCTACAAGGAGAGCTAACTCTCCCCATCCTTGGCCGTACCAGGGCATTTGCGGGCTCTCTTGACAGGTTTCCCAGGTTGTGTAGGTAAACTGGGCTGATAATTGTTCATTTTAATATTGTTGAGTTCTTTGAGATGAACAGTTTACTTGTAGAGCTTACATTTTCAGTCTGGACAAGATGATTAACGCTTATCACACGAAGTTCCACAATTAAACTATCCAGCTCGGAAAGATTAATAGCATCGGTTACATTCGCCTAAACAGGAAATTTCCTCCATCATAATTGTTAATGTATCAAATTACGGAATTTATTTTTATTTATACACTACTAACGGATTTCGTTGTATTAATGTATTCGTTCTAATTAACACTGCCTAGATGATCTGTTCCATACATACAATTGAAGAGTTTATAAAGTTAGCCGTGAAAATCTGTATTTGGTTTTGCTTGTCTTGTAGTCAGATTAATTAGCTTTTCACTCTATTTGTGCGTTTCTTCACCAAATTTGACTCCAACTTTGGATTTGTATTCACTGACGAATAATGGTGATTCTGAAATATTATATTTCATTGTACATATTTAGTTTTTAAGCTTCGGCTCATATTTCGGGTATGATGGCTGGTGGAACTATTGAATAGTTCAAATCAAAATAGGTAAACTATGAACTGCGACTTAATAATTAAAATTTGGACGCTTTAAACACTAAATCATTGCTCTCAGCTACATTTGATCAATTCAAGTATGATCAATGATAGTTAAATATATATAATTAAGATTGCAATCAGGCGACCGAGTTGTGTAGAAAATTCCATTCCCAAGAGACATTGGTTCTTTGAAATATGATATAATCATTCTGAACAATAAATATAAAATTAAGCGTGTACAATCTTTGAACTATGAGGTGACCAGGGATCAAGTACACTGTCAGAAGCACGATCAAAGAGTAATCTCAGCCATAAAGTAAGTGGATACTAAAATAAAGTTATATCAATTACCACCTGTAACTAGAAAACAGAGTACGACTATATCAAGACAGACTAACAAATAATAACGCAAATAATTGAAGCTTTATGTTTCGAGCGAAATCTTTTAAGACAGAAAAACGTAATCCAACTAACTTTTAACAATGAAATGAGGGAAGAAAAGAAATAGGAAGCACTGATACAAATATTGTACTGAACCAGACAATTGAAATAAAAGTACCTTCATATATAACAGGCAATTCTTTGCAGTCATTTCATACTTGGTGGAACATAAAATGTTTGCAAATAACTCAAACTACTGAGTACTATTAAGTAGTATATTTCGAATACAAAAGTCAAAGTGTGTGTTAAACAAACTTCACATATGTATGACTATTTTATTATCGAATATATGATGACCATGATTTATTTTTTATTTTCTCCTACTTATTCTTTCCAGCTTAACTCTTAAAAATTGTCCAAAATTGTACCATTCAGAGAGAATCAATCGGACAACAACGAATAGTCATTCTAATGATCAAATTACATCTATAGAAATCAATCCATCCAGTGCACCGTTCAATAATAGACAGGAGGTAATTATTATGTCTGATAACAAGAATCATAAAAATCCAGTTAGTGAATTATCATCATCAACAACAACGACTACAACAGGGAATTTACAACATCATCGTCATCAACAACAACAACAAATATATCAAGTGACAAGTCAGCCGCCTACACCGCTTCAACAGCATCCACAACAGTTTACGTCAGGTTATATAAAAGACAAGTCTAATTCACTTAATATTAATGTTAAACAGGTAAAAAAGGTCAAAACATTTCTCAAGTTGGGAATATTTGTCATGTGTTAAAGTGGATGATGATATTTATGATATTGGTTCTTACTTAGTTGTATCTTAACTGTTCTCTTCCATTTTTCAATAAAGTTGGTTATTTATTAGAAGTGAAATTCAGAATGCGTAGTCCATCCTATTTGTGATTCATCAATTGGATGTATCTGGATTTCAGTGTTGATGTTTTTATTCAAAATAGAACCCAGTATCTTTATGTCCAACGTCCAACATTTTATCCATAAAAACGAGAGTACATCCATCTAAGGAGTTCCAAGTAAAATCAAACGTGTAACCTGGGTTTCATTGTTAGGCATGGATCAACTATACTAAATCTTGTGACTGTATGATTCTATCAGCACAATCTACCCGGGATTTCAGAACATAATTATCATTTGAAATCCCTAACGTTAATCAGTAAGATAAAAAAGAAACGCTTCGTAAACCACTCTTCCAGTTCTTTTTTATCTACTCATCGAACGAAATAAACTGTTACCCTGTTAAACAATTAATCAAACTGAGGTTATCCAGATTTAAAAATAATGTTTTTATATTTAGAACCTAGATTCTTTGATATACGGCGTACAACTTGAGCACTCGATCGCTAGAACCCTCCAAGTAGCAAATGCGAAGACAGAAGACGAGTGAAAAGGAATGCTATTCCAAACAGTGTCAAATATAGTACAAAATTCTCAGGTATTTCTAGTTCTTAGTAAAAACGAAATCAGCATTATAGTTATCCAGTCCGCATGCAGTAGTTTTTAGCATTTGTCCAATAGGGAAGCTACATGTAGAGATTCTGGAATATTATTTCAAAGATGATTGGATGGAACATCTTCGGCCCCTTCGAACTTCCTTGAGTTCACCCGTGGGACATCCTCATAAATGCAGTACTGGATATTTTCACACCTTCGTTTAGGTTAGCCATAAAAACCTTGGAAGATCTTCAGAGGTTAAACATCATAAAACTGTCAAGGTGTTTTGTGTTTTCTTTTAATTCACTTCATTACTAGTTATTCACACAATTAATTGTTGATTGGAAAGTTCAAAAAACTTTTTACTTATCAACATAGAACGTAGTTGATAATCCTCTTGGTCTCTCAACATAATAATTATATCAGAAGGGTTTCTGTGGATATTATAGTAATTTCAATCGTTCATGAATCAATTGAAGATCATGAATCAATTGAAGATAGACCACCATGGAAAACCTAGAAACATTGGACGCCCATCTCGTCTTATTATGGAACTCCTCAGCAGTGCGCATCCATGATCCCGCCTCACGAGATTCGAACCCAGGACCTATCAGTCTTGCGCGTGAGCACAGGACATCAAGTGGATACACTTAAGTCCTTCAAGGTGATTAATAAACAGTCAAACTTCAGTCTTCTGAAATTTGCTGAAGCCATAGCGATCATATGGCTTTAAGTGGGACAGTTATATCTTCAGATAGTATAGCATTACTTGAGTTTAACCGTTTGCCGATAATATTTACAAAAGTAACAGTAGTTACCTGGTCTACAGTTAGTATTGGAATTTCGAATATATATGGCTTAGGTTATCTATAACGTGAATAGTGTTGAATAAGTTAACTATATCAAGCATCTTCGTTCATTTATTGCATAAGTGATGAATATTAAAGTTCCATTAAAGATATCACTTCAAGTTCTAACGTATACTATATTTGTATTTTTGATGTTGAGCTGTGTGCGCTACATTGAAATGTTCATAACAGACAGCTGAAGATAGCTTTATACACTTAGAATGAAATCTTTGGTAATAACTAAACTACAGTATATCAGTTTGTGATTCAAACTATGAAAAATCTATAATGTCCACAAAGTTTCTCTATACTAATATTAATCATCTGGACATTGAAGATTAGCTTCAAGATACAATTCCTGAAGTTATAATGGCAAGGCTTAACCAGTGGAGTTCAACCATATTGGGTGTAAGACAGTTATCCAATGCAGTCAATGGATAAGAATTGTGTAATATATATATATATATATATATATATATATATATATATATATATATATATATATATATATATATATATATATATATATATATATACGCAATTAGGTCTAGGGATTGGACGTTCATATACAAGATCAAAGGTCCCGAGTTCGATTCCTGGACTCGGGATAGTGGATGCACCCCGTCATTCAGTGCTTTTCAATTCTCAATGATAGTCTAGCTAAGATCAGTTCATGATTTAAACTATGAAAATTCAACAATCTTCACAAATCCCCTTATACAAACTCCAGTACATATCATTCACCTACTAAATGTATGTGAAAACGGAAGAAATTATTGCATATACCATACTTATTAAACATTCAAAACGTTCTGTATAGCTTCAGCCATTTTCAGTAATAAATTGTTGAACTCTATGTTTTGGTCTATTATCATTACTGTTATTATTCTATTGCCTTTTTTATATACACAGAATACTTCAGATAAACTGAAATTGATCGATTCAAGACGTACAACACCGAGACAATTGAAACAATATCAATTAAAACGTAATCAACCAATTACTCATTCATCATTGACTACTAGTACTGAGTCACCACCATCATCAACACCAATGATTTCACCAGAATTATATCAACCAAAATATACAATCGCATTAAATCATTCCCATTCAGAAAAAGCAAAAACTATCAATTCACCTGAAAATTTTCATAGTTCCATGGAAAAATCAACATTTCCTCAACAACAAATGACCTCTAGTGATTTAGCCACATCATTTATTCGTACGGCAAGTTTACATTTAAAATCCACACTATCACGATTGAAACGTTCGAATAGTGGACATTCAAATAAGCCATCAGATACAATAACTACGACTACTACTCATATTAACGTTTTGCCTTCGGTTAAAACAATTGATGTTAATGAGGCAGCAATGCGTCATAGTTCTCTTCCTTTTGATAATAATGATAAATCTATAAAACTAATTGATGAAATCAATGGTAATACGAAGCAATTGTATAAAGAATTAAATACTACTACTACTACTGAAGAAAATAATAGTAATTTATCTTCATCATCACCTGGATGTACAAAATGGTCTACACGTTTAGGTCCTCCACCATCCCCATGTAAAACGACAGATATTAATACTGCTGTCATACATCCTAAATGTTGTATATCGACAACATTCCATGGAACTAACACATCAGAGACAATAGTCACAACGACAATAAATTCTACACAACTACCATTAAATATTTTAAATCATAGTAAGAAAAATGTTTTAATTTTGAAAAATACAACAACGATGACTACTACTACTACTAATTCTGTCAATATAAGTAGTGTATCCCAAGTATTGCCAAAAAATGAACGGAATGAATTGAATTTATCATTAACTGGTGGTGATGATTGTGCTGATTTTGGAGCATTTGGTCGAATTAATTTACGTACTGGAAGTTTTATGGGTCGTTATCCCAATTATTCACATTCGAATTATCACTTAATGAATTATGCCCAAAATGGGCAGCATAGGCAATATTTATTGAGTGGTAACGATAATAGTAGTAGTATACAAGAACAACAACAGCAACGTCAAAACGATCAACAAAACCTTTCAGATTACAGACCACTTTATTTATCTGTCCAACCGTATACAACATCACCATCTGGGAATACAACCCGATCAGCACCATCACCGAGTCTTTCATCAATCATATCAACGCAAGGTATTCCAGGTTATAATGAATCTTGTCAACAACAGCAAATTGTATATTTTCGTCCTCAGAGTAAATCGATCAATTTGAAAGCGTCATCATCCTCTTCCGTGTCAATGAAACGTTCACCAAGAGTGAATTCTATGCATAATCCACAATTGTTGCATACAATAGATAATCCAGATGATCAATACTCAATACCTATAACACATCCACATGAAATGTTATTATTATCTTCTTCATCATCTCCGTCATGTGTAAGTCCGCATCCAGAATTGGATCCAATTTTAGAACGCCTGTTATTGGATGTAACAAGTATTGATGAATATAGAACAGCATTGCATAGAAATGGTAAGTGAGAGATTGAGAAGTACTGATGGTGATTAATATTTATGGCAAGGCTATAATTTATAGGCGAACCAATCATACATAAGACGACGGATCTTGGATTTTGGCGCGAATTTCGTCCATCCATTTGGCTAAATAGCGTTTTGGCATTTAAGCTTATGTCGTGATGAAAACCTTAAATGTAATTCTTAGCCCCAACCATCAACTGTAAATCAGAATTTTAATTCCTCACATTGGCTTACAACCCTCATTTAGTCCTAGTTACTAAATGATCATTCTCAAGGTCACTTTAGAGTTGCTCAAAAGTAGTCCATAAATGATCGTCTCACCATATTTATTAGTGGTTGATTCAGTGTTTATTTGTACTTATCTTCTATTATACTAAGTTAGCGAGTGTTTCATAAATATTTGTACCATGTAACAAAAACCCTTCATTAGTATAACAGGTTTTTAGAAACTTCATTTTTATTATTTTGCACAACAGATAAACTTAGAGATCTTTTGTCTAATTTCAAGAGCTAATTACCAGATCTTTAGTGAGAAGCTATGACTGGTGGAGAGTTCAACCACACTGGAAGTTAAGCAGTTAATCACCATTGTTACAGGAAGATGATTATACTATATTGAAAATTGACTGAAGTTTCAAATATTAACCATTAGATGCCGATTCAGTGGTCTGAACGTTAAGTGCTTACTGATGAGACCTGAAAATTTCGGGTTTGATCTTTGATGATGTGGATGTCCATCATCACTTAGCAGTCCCATCACGAAATGAAACAACTACCTAGTGTTTCTTGGTCGTTAATGACTATCTAACTAAAGTCAGTACATGATGCAAACTTTATTATTCCATAATCTCCGAAAAACCCTCATGTTTATATATCCATCTTTGATACACTATCTGTTTTCATTTACTCTCATAGATTCAGTTACTCCGCCATTATCGACTAATCGACAGCGTACTATCAATCGTATACATACTCCTTTAGGATCAAGTGATCCTGAATCAATTTCACGATCAGCTGATCATATAACCAATGTGAATTTATCAAATAAACAATTAAATATTTTACATGATAATATATGGGATTTAAATAAACAAATTAATGATTTAATACAAATGGAATTTAATTATAAACAGAAACAACCAACCATTAATAATAAATCACAATTATCACCATTTGGTACTTTAAAAATAGGTAGTTCAACAGTTGGACCTAGACGTTCAGCTCCAAAGTAAGTTGGTCTGTAATAATTTTAACCTTTTTTATGTATGTTCACATCAATTACGAGCGTTTTTGATGATAGAACTCGCTTGGGATTACCTTGGTTTATCATAAGACTAATGATCTATTGTTTAATTAATGATATTAATGACATAAACAATAATTAGAAAGTCTTGATGCCTATTGGTTCGTTCAATTCCCTTTATCGTTAGTGGCCAATTATAACACGAAAATATCAGGCAGATTTAACTTCTAATATTGTGTTATCTTTTCAACTTGTAAAGCTCACATGATTATATGCATCAGTTATATGACTACAACACATCACAAACAAACATGTGTAAGAAGTGTCAGATTCACTCAAATAACGCTTGAATTCACCTGAGGTTTACTTCAATCAGACGACTATCTTGGTTAATCGATAATAGTTATATTTAAGTAGATATAAATAATATACATGATTCTACAATAAGTGATAGTCAGTTAAATTTAAGCTTACATTCAAAGTGATGAAACAATAACAAGAGTCATTCGTAAAGCAGTTAAACATAAAAAATGACAAGTTCAAAATGACTTTCCAAGCAAACTACTTTATCAACTAATAAGTACATATAATAGTTGAATTCATTAGTCTATTTAAGCTAGACCACCATAGCCAGCTTGTTAAGTTAACCAATGGATGAACACTGACTACATCAGTAATATAGTCATAAAACAAGAATTTCTCAATAATAACTAATAACTGGTTTCTTGATGCAGTGGTTGAATTAATATTTCGTAGCAACTGCTTGACAGTACTTGTTTCTTGAAACCCTATCATGATTAAAATACGTCGGTATAGAAGAAGGTAAGAATCGCCAGAGGTAATTGGCTTTAAGAGGTCTTACTTTCATTTGCACACTGAGCATTTATCTTGTATACTTCGTGTTATTAAACAACTAGAACACATTTGCAATGGAGACTGTTAACGATTCGTAAACATAGGAGTTGAAATACGAGTCGTTATGGAATATTATATTTCATATACTCATGATTATAGTAGATTAATTATATAAGGTATGGAAGTTGAAAGAAGAGTAAATGAATGAGTGATTGGATGAATTGTAAAGTGAATTCACATATAAGTGGTCGGAATAACTAACATACTACTGACCTTCTATAGGAAAGAGATGTTTACATCGACTGATCACTGTATACAGTTAGTGCTGAGTGAGTTTTATCAATCAAGCTGTAGTACACCCGTTAATCTAAGCTTCTCGACATCATACGCATTATGTTTTGATATTAGGTAGGAGATGTGAATTGTTCTTCAATCCTGTCCCTAATTGTTTGATTTATTTATTTATTATTAGCTTTATTCAATATTAGACTTTTGGAACAATATAGAATCCTCAGCACAAAGTATTTCAGCGAGTTTCCGTTTTTTATTTCTTGATCGATATGGACGATAAATGTTGAATGATCTCCAGTTAGATGTTAGCATTTCAGAAGTTGACATCTAAAAAATATTCATTCTTTACAGTGCATACTGCCAGCCATCACAATGTCTCCGATTATATGGTTTTGTAACTTGTACAGCGAAAGGTCGTGAACTTTTCACAAATTCACCTGAATAGATTATGCAATTAATTGACATAATGATCTGTTAAAACAAACAAGGAAACAGATAACTTGTTTAAATATCTAGATGGTAGGAACAGGTAGCCCAGATATTCAAGTAGGCTGCCATCATCTGAGCTCAAACTACTGAGATCAAACACGATGGTTCGAAGTGCTACCCAAACAGTTTGCCGATAAGGATCCAGACAGAGAACCTTGGGCATAAAAACCCGAATACCCCTAAGAAACACCCACCCTCAACGTCTTGTTTGTGTGTGTTGAATGGCACGAAATTCAGATTCAGAGTTATTTTACCGACTACTTCCAACTACATAGCATCTTTAGTGGTACAATTTAATCACCACTAAAAGACTAGACATACATGACATTGGGTGCAAATCAATGGTCGATGAATGTATTCCAATTTCTGCTTTTACGACATGAATGTTCGGCATCCAATTTTAAATTATAAATCCGATAAATGTTAGTTGTTAAGCTTGAAATGAAGTTATTTATTACCTTAAAGCAATAAATTGGATAGCATTTATATCTGGCCTGGAAGAATTCATATTATTCGCTATTTGTCAGCTCGAAAATCCTTTTTTCTAGGAATTAGTTACGCGATTACAGAAGCTTGGTCACTGATGACAGCATTTTCAAGCACAGTTGAATATCAGATAGTAGCGGAATCCAGGCTGCGTTTCATCCCACATGGTACACCTCCGGAATTCTACTGCTAACTTCTGTTCAACTATGTGTGAAAGTGCTTGCGGATTAATGACGATATAGAGGCAACCCAGAACAGGGTAGAATTATGCCAAAAAAGGCTGATCAATCACAATCTTTAACAATAGGAAGATTCAATGAGTAAAGATGAACTATTGACGATTAATATTTTAATACTACTAATGAGTAGTTAAGAATGTCTCATTTAAAAGTTTGTCATATTTTTTTCTCAACAGTGTTCAAGTTGAAGAAGACAGTAAAACTGAAGTTGACAGTCAATCAACTAAACAACAACAGCAAACAGACGAAGCATCCAATACTACTGGCACAAAACCTGGAAAATATACACCATTTAGAAAACATCCATTCCGTTGGTCAAGTCGGACAAGATCATCAACACATAAAAAAATGATTCTAACACATACACAATCATCTGTTGGACGAAGTGATCAGCATATTAATAAGGATGATCATACAATTCATTTATCTACGAGTTCTTTACAAACTACACCAATCAAATCAATAAGTAATACAGGGAGTAATAAATCTACTAGAAATTATCCGATCAATAACTGTGATGATAATAATAATACATCAATTAGTTATAATCAGCTGAATGGTGAACAACATCCAACGGTAATATCTAGTCGAATGAATACATTGAATTCAAGTAGTAATTTATTAGATACAAAAAAAGATGATTATGTAACATTTTGGTCGTTATCAGTTGGACAGTTAACAATATTACGAAAATTTGCTCTCATACAATTAGCTAGTATAGCTGATAAACATTGTTCCATAAATCGATCTCCATTTAGTTGGTAAGTTGAGATGATATAACTTTGTTTAAAATAGTAATCTTTTTAGTTCATTGTTAGTTGCATAGTGTTTAGGTTAGATGAAACTTTGATGATTATAAATCTTCATCTACTGAGACGGTTGAGATATGGGTGACGTATGCCTAAACACTGAGTATTTCAATGGGTTCTGTTAAATGTTGTGGGAGTAAGTTGAAAGAAGGTCTGTAGTAGCGAAATTGAAATGTGGTATCAGCATCTAAATTCACCAACTGTTGGTCTGAGTCATTTAGGTAGATGGAACCTACTTGGTTGGAGTTGGCATGGTAACCACGATCAGTCGTTGGAAATGATTTATGACATGACTCATAGATGTTTACATTGGTACCGATGTATTCATTGTTAATCTTCCTCTAGATCTCCAACTCCAATATTCCCTTTTGGATATCTTTTCTCTTTGTCTTTTCGTAACAATGTTTAGTTTTTTCCTGTTGTCATCGTTATTACATTATTCCAATCACTTTTGCTACTCATCTTGTTAATTTCACGTCTATGGGGTATGGAAACTTGGGCTAATGAGTATTTGTACGAGACCCGATGTTCATTATGATTGTATGATTGACTGATTTATTATACATTTATACTAATTACTGTAAATGGTTTGTATATATACTGTTGTTGACATTCAAGAATGATAGTAATAGGTCTTTGTTGATGTATATGATCATGCAATTCCGTTTACAAGTGATATTCTAGGATTACAGAATCTAAATGTTATGAAATGGGATATTAGTGAATCAATACTGATCCCCAATATTCCTATATATATATATATATATATATATATATATATATATATATATATATATATATATATATATATCAGCCATTTAGTGGCCAGTCACGTTCACTTATTATTAGACACATTTCCGGTTAGGCTAATGTAGCCCTAAGACTCGGGTTTAGTCCTATTATTTTTTTATCGGCATACACTTTTACATTAATTTTCCTATCGAAATTTGAGCCTGATACTTACCGATTTGGGATGCAGCGGTTATCTATGACGGTACTGAGTAATGTTAGATGTCAGTAATATGTCAGATACTAAAGTGCTTGACACTGAAATTTTTGCTGCTTTCTAATCGTTTTCTTAGAAATCTCTTACAATCAAGCCCAAGATAGAAGACAAAATACGAGAAGTTTGAAAATAAGCTTTACTTCCAAGGCTAATTTCGTCGCATAAAAGAAGGATATTTATAGATAAATATGTTACCTTTATATTGCAAAACGTTTTTGGAAACATGTTACATTTAATAAACAAATTAGTAACTTTTTAATGGTTGAGGTCATGAGTCAATTGAAGTTAGACCACCATGGAAAACCTGGAAGCACTGGTTTCAAGAGGTATTTCCTAGAGTTCTAGTGAGAAGCCGTGTCCAGTGGAGTTCAACTAGGTCTGTTGTGCGATAGTAACTCACTGATCACAATGGTGGATGTGTCGCTCGATTTCGTGGATTAGTTGAAGTCAGACATTAACGCCAATAGATGCCGACAGGGATCGTGGATGCACACTGCTAAAGAGTTTCGTAATAGGACGAAATCGCCGTTCAGTGTTTCCGGGTTTTCCATGATGGCCTAGCTTCAATTGACTCATGATCTCAACCATTGAAATTACTATAATATCCACAAAAACCCCTTCTGATATTAAATCAGTAACTATCTGGTCTATATATAACACATAATCCATCGTTTTCGTAGAACTCTCTCTATTGAAAGCTGATTAGACAAAGTACTTCTACCTCTTGTCTATAGCTGAAATTCGATACTGTTAACTTGATCATCAGAGTAAGGTAATGGAAACCAGCATTAAATGCTTTTGTTTATTTGTTAATGAATCAATGAAAATGCAAACAATTGAAATCAATATGTTTCGATGTTTCACATGATAGTCTATTTCACAGAGATCTGCATAAAGAGAACTAAAGAAAATTCATATCAATTGTTTAACCTCTTATTTCACATTTTTAGGCGTTTTATGAAATATAGAGCACTTCTAACTTCTGGTGATTCAAATTTGCTATCCAACTCATTGAGTACATCTCCATTATCCGATACGAAACCATTTTCTAGTATAAATAATGAAATGTTTGTGAATAATCTAAATTCAACTGAAGTAAACAGTCTTTCTCATCACAATCAGACACAGCCATCAGGTTGTGAACGTATACCTCAATTACCTATTCGTTGTATATCCTATACTGGACCAGTGTTTGGCCAATCATTATCAAGTTGGCAACGTCGTTTAGGTTATCCTCTTCCACCAGCTATTGTGCATATGATGGATCATTTAGAATTAAATGGTACTACAGCTCATGGACTGTTTCGACGCCCAGGCGGTAAATCCAGAATATTAGCATTGAGAGAAGAGATTGAACGTGACATAAGTAAGTCTGTTCTCTTTTGAATATTCATCTTAACTACTTATGCATTTTAATAATTTACTTCCATGTTGTTAATGTGATTGATCAGTCAATCGATAAATTTCGAAAACTGAAATTCTATCAGGCTTATTACTGTGGTTTATGAGATTTGGACAGAAGTGGGGTTTCGCATAATTCAATGATTGACTTACTAAAATATGATTAGTCTGGAAACTAATGTTTCGTCGATCAACGTCAGTATGTGTTCGAATTCAAATTCAGTCACATAAATCCGATGTTTGATGGTTTGAAGCAATCAATGGAAACCCTGGAACTAGGTTGTTTTGCTTATTTTCTCCAGTCAGTTTATTTAAATATTCAGTATTCCTCACGTTGTTCAAATCAGAATCATTTAGTTCCACAGTGCAGGACATTACTATTGTGTTATTCAGGTAGCGACTAGTCTTCTGAGGACTGAAATATTTACACTGAGTAATCACCAATGCCGTATTATCTAATAATTAGTGTTGATCGAATACTATGGGAACAAATATAAATCCCTAATACCTCTAGGAAAAAATTTTGTAGACATTGCTTTAATTTATAGATTGTATTCATTTGACCCCAGTCGATGTACCATTGAAATTATGGGAGGACTGGACTACTAAGTCATCCAACAATGAGACCCCTAGCAACAATATAAACCTTAAACGCACCAAGATCGTTCTTAGGAACGCCTAACCACTAACTAATAGTATTGCATTTCAAATCCGACCTATTCGCTGTACTTCCTGACCATCAGTAAGTCGATTAAGTAATCAAGCCACTGTGAATTTTGAGAAATGTTCACGAAATTCTAATGAGGAATCATGACCTGCATAGTTCAACCATATATAGAGTGAAATAATAAGTTTCTAAGATTCATGAATGATGCTAATACAATTTACTGGATTAATTGAAATATTAAAGATAAACTATTTGATGATAACTTGACAGTTCAAACGGTAGTGTGTAGGTTAGCAGATTTAAATCCCTAATAGGTGCAATACCCCAGAGCTTAAGACAAAAAGTTGCAGTGTTGAATACCAACAATTAAAAATTGTCAACTCTCCTTAAGACTTCCATACTCCATACTGGATAAATTAGCAACTATCTATTCTCAGTAGCTCAGCGGATGTTGCTTTGAGAATTTAAAGTAATAGGTGTTAGGTTAAAGTCTCAGTGTGATCATCAATTTCATTGAAACTCATGCTTCTTTATTGAATACATTTATTCTTTATTATTTCCTATACAATTTTAAGACTGGAGAAAATTCAGTGATTGGCAACCATATGATATAGCAGACTTATTGAAACAATTCTTTCGTGAATTACCAGAATGTTTATTTACCAGTAAATTAGCTACAGTGCTTGTCAATGTTTATATATGTGAGTTAATTATATTTTTTTGTACTTTTAAAACAATGATATGGATATAATTTTTCAGTATAGGGTTATGGAGATCGCTGAGTTTTAATTTAGATCATGAACCGATCAATGTCAAACCACCATTGAAAACTTGGAAGCACTAGACGGCCGTTTCGTCGTAGTATGGGACTCCACAGCAGTGCGCGTTCACGATCCCACACGTAAGATTCGAACACAGAACCTGGTTCATGATCCCAATGAAATGTAATTTCTAACCATAGAATTTTGAAAGTGATTAGTTTCATTATTACCATAGATTGATATCAGTTATGCAAAATGTTATTGAAAACTAACAGTCATTCAACAGTCGTTTCTCCATAGAATAAGTGGATGACATAGTTCTGATTGGTTAAGAAGGTACTACAATATAGAGTCTTCTGACAGTCTCGTTAATAATATAATCTCCACTATCTAAGTGCGAAATTTCGCTTCACAACTGAGTTATATCAATATCTAAACTGATGATGGAGAGTGAAGTATATGAAAGTATCGACCACTTCACTGGTTTCGGAAGTCTCACCAGTATTGACGGGTTGATTTCTGACCAAATTTCAGTATGGATTTAGAAAACTCAGCTGGCATTCGTTGATCCGTGGCTTGAGCCAGATGAACTTCTACGAACCAAAGGACGACCACACTGTCTATCACTTCGTTGTTTCCAACCTGTGGCTGTGAAACATGACTTTTGAAAATAGAATACGTCGAGGGTTAGTAGTACTTTATCATATATGTCTTTGAAATAACATTTACATGTGCCGACACCACTGATTCAGCAGTGCTGAGGTCAGACTCAGAGTACTAGGTAAAGATGTCAAATCATTTGATGGTATAGGAAATCTTCACTAATGATTGGTAAGATACTCATTACACATGTCTTAACACCACCTATCTCAACTTGCGATGTTAGCTGGAGTAACAATATGTTTAGAGAAATCTAAGGTTGGCCAAACCAAAACGTGACATAAGTACACGAAATCACTGATGGTTGATCTGAGATATTTTGGTAAGTCCAGACAATGTGGTTGAAGTTTCCACTGTTATGTCTGGTCGTCGCTAATTGTTATATTTGAATTGCTTATTACTTACACATGGAACCACTGCGATTCCCAGGACGAGACGTAAAAACACCAAAACTGGTACAAGTGAATATTTATTAACTTCAAAACATAACGACAACCCTAGTTGAAAATACATTCATTTGTGTATTGGTTGTACACCTATTCTGAATATTAATAAGGATGAAATCACATATATATGAAAGATGCCCATAGTTATAACAAATCACATCCTGCTTGTTATGCTGAATATAGTTCAGGTTAATTTAATACAAGAGTATCGTATCTTGGATAAGCATCACACTCAAATATATCAGTATTATACCGAATGAAGCATCACACTGGGAAACAAAATAAATATTACTCTGAATAATTATCATATGGAGCTGCAAACAGAAGTGATGTTGAATATAAATCACAATGACTTAAAATTGTGATTTTGTCTCTTCATCCAGTTATGTCATTCTCCATAATCGTAACCAGCAGTCAAAGATGTTGAGAGACACGACTCAGAATCTGCCACAATGGCAATGGTGGATTTACTTACTTGTTTCACTTAGGTTTTGAGTTTCAAAATTATCTTTACTCAACGAGTTCATTCATTTGTATTTCAGCCCAAACTCCTTGACTGTGAACAAACATATACACATTAGCAACTGAATTGATAATCTTTAAGTCTTGAGGCAAGTAATACTTCCTCAAACCATTAATTCGATAACCAACGGTCAACATTTATAACTTTGGTCAGTAGGCAATGTAATCTGATCATAACTCAATGGCATCGATGATGGTTGTCTTATTTTCGACGTGGTTGTACTCCATTGATGATGGATTCTAATTAGAACTTGAAGAACTGCAAACTGCTGAACAACGAACATAAAGTTGTTGTTAACGTATTTTTGTACATCATCAATTTAACAGTTAGAAATGTATACCACTAGTTGTCTAATTATATAACGCTTACTGTGTTATCCTAAGCTTTTGGGCCCGATCCCCTATAGGGTCACGAGTTCCAGTTATCAAGGAGTCATCCTAAATTATAATTATTCCTAATAACCTTGTATTTCAAGTCAGTTCATTACAAAAGAATGTCTTAAAAATTATATCCCATTGTCGACATTGAGGACTGAATATTGGTCAGTCTCTTTTAGTATATATGTATCGTATCCGAACTCCTTCAACATACCCGTTACACAAATTAATAATGATCTAAACTCGGCAGCTTAGTAGATCATGTTTTTTTGGAGCATTTAAAGTGAAAGGTATTAGATCAGAGTTCAAATGTGGATACCAGAACTTTAGGATTTCAGATACATCCAGATAACAAATTCTTACAATGAAATACTCATCCTTGATTCTCTTGATACCCATAATCTATTTTGTTTTATCTCTTGGGAATTGCATAATCACTTTCCCTATCATTTCTTCTGATTTTCCAAATAAATTTATATTCTGTGTTCTGTCTTTATATTGTTACTATTTGTGTTTCTTTCATTCTTGTATATCATATGTATCTAACACACATTATCATTATAATGTACATATATTTATTCATCATTAATATTTTATAACTTAGGTGTTCCAAATTCAGTACAAATTGATTTACTCCGTTGGATATTAATTAGTTTACCAGATGAAAATCGTCTTGTTCTACAAAAATTATTATATTTACTCAATCATTTATCACGTCATAGTGATGTAACTGAAGTGAGTGACAGTTGTTCAAATATATTTACTTCTTTTTGATTGTTCATGTATTCTTATCTATCCGATTTTTTTTTTCTTTACAGTTTTACACTATGAATTGACTTTAGTTAGATAACTAGTTGGAATTAGGTAGTATTGGATAGATGTTTCACTATGTTACCGGACTCCTTAGAGGATGTACTTATCTATAACCCTACCAAGGATCGAACCCAGGATTTTCAGGCCTAGAGTCGAATGTCTAGCCTTGAAGTCACTGGATTGGTATCAAGTGGTTAAAGTTCAATTCTTGGTAGGTTCATGCGTGCGTGGGAAGAAACAGCTTTCAAATGATTCTTGGTTTTTATTGGTTATCTAACCTAGGTCAGTTCGTTATGTAAACTACAGAATTTCAAAATCTCTACAAATATCTTCCACTAATCAATTGTTGTTAATTTTTATTTCAGATGAGTGCTAGTAATTTAGCTGTTTGTTTTGCACCATCCTTATATCGATTAATTAAGCCATCATCTTTATCTACTCAAGGTGTAAGTCTTAGTCCAAGACGTTTAAGACGAACAACTAGTGGACCAGATCCCAAAGATTTAGCTGATCAACATGCTGCACAATTAAGTTTAAGTGCTATGATTACGTTAGCACCAAACTTATTTCAAGTGAGTAACAATGTATTTCTATGCATGTATGTATGTGTTTGTTGTGTGTGACCGGATTTCACATTAGTGAACATAAAAGTTTTTGGTTCCTTCTTTCTATTTTAAATCTGTATTAATAATCGCTGAATATTTAAAGGAAACCGTTAGAATGCCTTGAAAGTAGGTACCATTTTGAAGTAGATAAAGTAGTGGAACCAGGGTTTGGTACCTTCTGTGAGATATTTGTCGTTTTCCCAACACACTTAAACCTAGAGATCCGTTAAAGTAAGGAAATATTCTTCACTTCCTAAGATCCTTATTTATGAAAAAACCTAAACAATGTGTAATTATATAAATACAGTTCAGTGGTAACGTCTTACACTGTGAAGCTAAGTGAAACGGGATCGAGTTCACCAGAAACCAACATTTCCCTCAAAATTACGGGTAAGCTTAGTGCACGAGTGCTAATTGATACGAAGTCTATAATAATAATTTTCTTCAGTTAAAATGACTCACACACTGATAAACTCAGAAACGATTGTCGGCCAACAACACAAACAGGCACAAAAATGATCACTTCAACACATCTGTTCAGACAAAATGTGTCAGTCAATAAGTGAACTCCTATATTGATCAGTTAAGAAAATAGTTCGTTTACAATTAATCAATAAAATATTAGAAGACTAATTATACAATGAAAAAACTTGTTACTCATGAGTAGTACAATTTCAATCCACAACTATTACATTTGTTTTTATTATTTTTATTACCACTAATACCATATAGATCTCCTGCTCTTTATTAGATCATTCAACTCTCCTGACTAGTTTAACTCCATTAGCACAAGATTTAGAGTCATTAATACCAAATGGTGATTGGCCTCAATGGATACAAAATTCATTAACTGATCTTATACGTGAATGTTCTTCATCAAAATCTAAAGGATGGAACACGATTAATCGTGATGTTATGAAGCATTACAATGCTGAGTAAGTTTAAGTAGTTTAGGAATTATTATGTTCTTTTACTGTCTAGTATTCCCCAGCAAAAAATATTTGAGAGCGAACAATATGTATTCTGATATTAGAGATTATATAGAATTTACATAAGAACATTTTAGCGACTTCTTGATTCGCAAATTAGAACCAACTGGTTAAAAATGGACCAACCAGTGCATTCAGATTTGAGCCTTCCAACGAATTCAATATTCAAGATGATTCCGCTAACACAATGCATGTAGAGATGGCTGGATTTTGTGGTTTAACACGAAGGAATAACCCTGGTTAGACAACTACTGAAAATTAGAAGACATTGGACAACTGTTTCGTCCTGATCTTGGACTGTCTGGTTGAAGTAGGGATTCATTTACAACACTAGGAATCGAACTTCGGACTTTTAAGTCCTGTTTCGAGTTCATAACCTTCAGACAACTGAGCTGACATCTAATAATTTATATCTCTTAGCTTCTATCAATTTTTAGAGTTCTAATAGCAAGAAGAAACAATAAAAGAGTATATAAGATAGAAAATAAGTATTAGGATCGAGGGCGAATAAAATGCACAGAGTTTAAACTTGAATAGAGTGTTTGCTAAGTCCTCTGCAGTGCGGAAGTTTACATCGTCATTGAGCTAATTCCTTTAACCGTATGGATGACTTTGAAGAATAATTATTGGGGGGCGACGTGACCATAAAAATTGAACTATCGGTTGACTTGTCTACCATTTTGACAGTTCGGAAAAGTATTCCATGGAGATGCGTTTTGAAGAGGCTTGGTTTATTGAACCGATATGATCGGTTTCAAAACAACAAATAAATTTGTAGTTATTCATTAGTGTGACTCAAAGTGGAATCTCGCCCCTGGCACACCCATGAATCAAAGTTCACTTGATGAAAATGATACAAAGTTTAGCATCGAAGAGTGTTTTTTTTCAACTGCTTTGAAATCTTTTTTAAAGATATCTATAGAGTTATTTCTCTTAAAATTAATCTTCATGTTGCTCGTGTTGTCATTAATTTCCTATTGAGGAACCCTTAGAGGATATTCATTGTTGGTAAGTATCTAATCTGGGTTTTTCCAGTTCAAATAACGACCACACAAAATAATCCATTGATTAATCAGGTTCATAAATAAATATCACCATCTAGTTGTGCTATGACGAGATGAAAAGTTAAAATTAGACTGATTTACCCATTATGGTTTTTGTTCAACACTGATTTTCTGACGCATGTGGGTATCATCAACCACAAACGCGAACGCTTCTGTTGGAGGTCGCTGACTGAAGATCAGCCCAAAGCCCTCATTCTCATCTGCAGTCTCCAATCGCAAACGTTCAGTGACATCAGAACACAGTCGTTTATTCGAATGAACCAAGACCTTAAAGTGACTCTTAATAATATTGCGAATGAACATCAACGTCTAATTATTCTTCAATGCGACACTACAATGGTTCCGATCGCCCTGAAGTACATGTAATCCAACAACCACCCAACCCGGCTAAATCCACTCCAACTATATCTAGTCCATCTCACTCGAATTCAGTTCAACAGACGAAGGAAAATTGCTTCAGACATAGCAAATTGGTTCATATTAAATATTTCAACATTGAATAATGCTTTATTTCTTCATTTTCTACAGTTTCTATTCCATTATTTTTTCCATATTTGTTGTCAATTAGTTCGGGTGCTAATGAATTATTGGATAATTTTGAAATTCATTACAAAAAAATACCAACTTCAATTGAATCAAAAATTACATCAAATTCATTACGTTTATGGCGTTGTTCATTGTATATACCTGAAACTAATCCACGTGTAATATTAAATCGATTTGTTGAAACTAGGTAAGTTTATTTCACTCATTTAATTAATTGATCACTTCATTAATTAAACATCTAATTTATAACTTTATTTAAGATTTTTTAAAAATCTTATTAATTCACTTACTGGACACATATTCGTTTATTTTACTTCGATTTACACATGATTCACACTCACATTGTCTATTGTCCAAACTAAACTTGGGACATAGTGATTATTAGACGAACTCTTTAACCACTCAGTTATAACCCTATGAAATAGCTGACAGATTAGTAGTTTCACAGGTTGAAATCATGAGTCAGTTGAAGCTAGACCACCATGGAAAACCTGGAAGCACTGGACGACCGTTCCGTTCTAATATGAAACTCCTCAGCAGTGCGCACCCACGACCCTGCACCCCGTGGGATTCGCACCCAGGACCTACTGGTCTCGCGCGCGAGCACTTAACCACTAGACCACTGAGCCGGCATCCGATGGTGTTAATGTCTAACTTCAACCAATCCACAAGTTGCGCCACCGTACGCGATTGTCTTCAGTGAGCTGATATCTCACGACAGTCCTGGGTTCGAATCCCGCGGGATGAGGGATCGTGGATGCGCACTTCTGAGGAGTCCCACAACAGAACGGAACGGTCGTCCAGTGCGTCCAGGTTTTCCATGGTGGTCTAGCATCAATTGACTCATGATTTCAACCTGTGAAATTTCTAAAAATCTCCACAAAACCCATTCAGATTAATAGTTGACAATATTGAAATAAATAATGAAATGTTGATAATACTCGGTTGATGAGTCCTGAATGGGATGAAACACATATTTTCTATTGAATTATTATTAATCATTAATAAAAAATCAATAGCCAGCCTGTAGTCCCAAGTAATACATACAGACAATTCTCTCAGGTTGCATATATAATATAATAGAGATTGATCGATTCCATCTCCTAACATCAACAACAGGGAAATGTAAATCCATACAAATATGATGATTACATGATTACACATTTTTTTGTAATTTTCGGAAATTGTTTTTTGAAAGTTAGTTATCCATAGGTATATCAGCTGGAGCTTCAGAAATCTCTTCAATAATCCTCTTATTATGATACTAGTTCATGATGAGAACCTGAAACCACTCGAATACCATGCTAACAGACATAAGTTATTGAGTTTTTTGCAGGATGACGATTATACTAAGTGACCCTATTCAGAGCCGTATTGCCACTAGATAGTTATAAAAGAAGTTGAAAGGATTGAGTAAATCTTTTTTATTATCAATTTCCGAAACCCTTTCTGATAATGATCATCCTATGCTCACTAGTGACTGGCTTCAAAAGGTATTTCCTGGAGTTCTAGTGAGAAGCAGTGACCAGTGCAGTTCAAATGGGTCTGTTGTGACATAGTAACTTACTGAAGATAATGGTGAATGTGTGGCCCAATTTCGTGGGTTAGTTGAAGTTAGACATTAACACCACTGAATGCTGACTGACTCAGTGGTCTAAAGGTTAAGCGTTAGCGCGTGAGGCTGATAGGTCTTTGGTTGGAACCTCACGAGGCGGGGTTGTGGATGAGCACCTCTGAAGGGTCCCATAACTGGACGAAACAGCCTTCCAGTGATTCCAGGTTTTCTATTGTGACTTAGCTTCAATTGACTCATGATCTCAACTATTAAAATTTCCGAAACATCATGTTTTATTTATATCCTTTTGTACCTTCTCCCTACATATTTTACTTCTTAAACCTAGATCATCATGGGATCCAGAAGTCGTACAAATGACAATAGTTGATCAAATATCTGATTGTGTCGACCTTTGTGAACTACATTTATCTTCAACTTATCCACAACCAAAATGTCTATTACAATTATTACGTGGTATACAATATACATTGGATGATGGAAGTTGTGCCATGTTAAGTGAATCAATATGTAATTCTGCATTTTCCAGTACAAACACTACTCATTCTTTAACAACATTATCAACAAGTCAGTCGATTAATGTTCTAGGTCATGTGTATGAAGATCATGTCTATATTCGTCCAGATAATAATGGTCGAGGTTGTCGTGTATACTTATTATCTCGAGTTGACGTAAAGTAAGTTGTCTCTTGTTGTCATTATTACTGCCCTGATTTCTTTGATTGTCTTGTTATATATATACATTAAGAAAAAATGGAATTCTTAGATTTAATAAATCCATAAAACAACAGTTCTGACTCAACGATTCAATTGAGTCATAACAACTCATATCAGTCAGTCAGTTAATTAGTTATATCTAATGTAGAACCTGGCAGATATATGCATCGATTCAAAATGCCCCATCATTTAGTCATAACAAGATGAAATTATAAAGAGAGAGTATTACAAGTTATTATCTGGGCAACGTTAATCGATATCGTTTGCGAAATTCACCATTCAGAATTCCGATTATAATTTTTCTATTTCACTTTTCTAGCATCCTTAGCCTTAACCGGTGATACATTTTGACCGACACAATTATTCGTGATCGGATATAAGCTTTGCTCCTATTGGTCAGTAAGTCAGTCAGTCAGTTACAACGTAGGACCAGGTACATACATGCATCGGTCCAAGTTGCCACACCTCATTAGCACAGTAAGACGAACACCGGATTCATAGGAGCAGTTAACTCAATGGTGTAATATATAATGGAAAGATTTTATGTAAGGATATAGTACAGAAATTCTATTGGTTCACTGATACGCATACCATCTCTTATTCTCAACCTTGAGTTCGAAAGTGAAAACTCCAGCTAAGTTTCGATTATTATTTATTATAGGCAAACTAGTAAAAATAATGACAAGATTAGTGGTTATAGGAAAAAAAATTGATGTCAACAAAATGGTTATTCAACAAGAACAAATGATATCATAGAATAAAACAAAACGCCAAGTTATCTTTTCTTAATAAGGAAAGGTAATACTCTGAGTTAATCAGATACAAGCCAAACAAGAGATTTTGATAGGCTCGTAATCTTGGTTTCCTTACTCGAGTATCCGGTTTTGGCATATATTTAGGAAGCTTATAACTAAGACAACCGTTCAACATAATAAATAAATACCAAAATCTCTCAAACCTAAAAGGTTATAGTCTATTTCAAAGTTAATTACCGCATTGAAATTATGGTTAAATAGAAAAATCATCCTCTAGATCCTTCAGAATGGCTTAGTTGAATAGACACGTTAATAGTTATACAACTCATAATAAATATTTCAATTTATAGATCTGTATTTAAGTTGACTTAGAATTGATTGGGTAATGATCAATTTCATGTTTGTTTTCTGATAGAATTCTATCGAACTAGTTGTAATGTAGCCACTAGTCTAAATAATTCAACTTTTGTATACCATATTGATATGTTAATTTATCAGGGGTAGTCGGTAAGAATCCCTGAAGATACATTTCATACTAGTTTGAACTCGTCAACAAAGCAAATCTGTAGTCTTCTGGGAGCTAGTACTCCCTATGTGACTCGAGTCTTATCCACTCGCTTTCTAATTCTGATATATTACCACTGGGTTATTCAAGCAACAACTGACATACATTCAAGATGGTAAAAATCTACGACAACAAAAACAGCTAGCACTTAGCATTGATTACGTTAAGAATAACCAGTTCATTATTGGTTAGTCAGATAGCATTTACTTCAATCGATAAATTACAAGGAATAAAATAGTGCAGTTTGTTATAACTACTCATAAGCTAGGATTCACAAATCTCATATGGCAGATAAGAATTAAACTACAGCTGGTAATGTAAACCATACATGAAAACGCATGATGTACATTTATTCAGAAGTATTATCACAATTTATCTAACATAAATTGGACATTAAGTTTGGAAAATAAGTAGATCATTAATAACAGAATAAAGCATCAAGTGGGTTAGGATACACAAGAGTTGAAAGAATATACAATAAAAATTTGGACATAAACTATTATAAACTGATATATCCAGTGATTAGCTCAGATTTATAGAGTATTATTAGTCCTCTATTTCATTCGTGTTCACAAAATTTGTTCATAATTATGCTAAGAACAACGTTTATTTCTGTCACCTTACCTACTGGTACTATCATCAGTAGTATAAAATGTTTACAAAAATAAATGGGGTTTATATGGGATGTTCGCCATAAATCATTCGATACATAGGTCAGAGCAAATAAAGTAGTCCATGAAACTGGAAAAGGTTTAACCATTACTGTTGATTTTTCTATCAATATTATTGGCTTTTAAAACATAATTGTATTACTTATCACTTGATTATCTCTTACAGAGGATATGGACCTGATTGGTATGTGAATCAATGGGGTCATACATTATGTCGACGATTAATCAATTTACGCCGATCACTTCAAAGGTCGAAATCACCAATTTTAACTTATGAATTAGAAGATTCAATATCTAGACCTTCTCCACCACCATATTCAACTGTAACTGTCAATAATTTAACAACTACTACTACTAATACTAATACTACAAGTACACATATACCAATTTCATCACCAACTATAGATACATCATCAATATCAACTGATATATTAATTAATCGATTTTAAGTGTTATTTTTTGTTTGTTCGTTTATCAAATGTAAACTAATCATCGAGTCATTTCAAATCCACAGGAAGATCTATTTAAATGAAATATATAACATAAAGCCTATTTGTATATACAATTTTCATGTATTTGTATTTATGAATATGAAATTATACAAATACTTTTGTTGTTGTTGTCGTTGTTGTTTTTCTTTATCAATATTTTCTTTTATCCAGTTCATTTAAAAAAAACAACTTTGTTTATCCATCCAGATAACTTATATATATAGTAGATACCTATGAAAGTTGTTTTAACATTTATATCTTACAAATTGAATACAATATAATGATGTGTGTGTGCTTGTGTGCGTGAATGCGTGCTTGTCTGTGTGTGTGTATGTAATTCCCAATTTTTTTCTTACCGATTTATTCATTTTTTCTGTTTCCTATTTTACAATAGTAACAATATTCAAACTTTTAGTTTCATATACACATACCCATGTATATACACACACACCCATACACGCACGCACAAATACATACATACACAAACATGGAGACATTGGAGTACTTGTTTTGTAACTATAATGTTTACATTTAATACATTGAATTTCAATCTCTTCTTTAAGAGGTAATCAGAGTTGAAATCTAACTCACCTCTATTATTATTATTATCACCATCATCATCATAACGGTGTATAAATGAAGATGATGAAAATCACCAGAGAACTATTTGAAATGATTATCCCAATTGTGTAACATACTGAAATGAATTCATATGTATATTTATATTTATTATATATAACAGATTATATTGTTCTGATTAGAAGATGCTATTCAAAGAAGAAAGTTTATCATATTGTACATAATATAACAAATAATATATAAAATAGAATTCATTATTTCTCTTTTGAATATATATATACTCTTTCCATTGATCTATCTATCTATCTAATTACCTTCTTTTTTTTTCTTTGGCTTTCTGTTACTGTGCATCAACTTTGGTATTATTGATTTTATCCACTTCTTGATTGTATATTGATAGAATATTGAGTTTTATTACGTAATAGATTATTTTTTAAACCTGATATTACACTTTCTCTAATAATAGTTTTTATTTTAATAATCATAGTTAATTTGTATTTATAATGTAGGGGGGGGGAAGGATTGTTTCTTGGTCCTTGAATGTATAAACCATATAGATAAGTATTAAAAACCTCTCGTTCTCTCGTGTGTGTGTGTGTGTCCTTTTTTTGTTTCCTTGATTAACTATGTGTGTGTATGTTTTTTTTTCCTTATTAATAGAGAAATATACTCAACTCAGTCCAGTTAATATGCCTATTTTTTTTAATTATTAATTCCAATCAATTGTCACTATCATCAGTTTTCTATTATTTTTGTTTCTTTCAATTCATTTACAATCTCATCGTTTTGAAGATTATGTCTTTCTATCTTATTGTTGCTAATATTATTTGTTTACTAAATATATATATACATATATAAACATTTTCTTCGTTTCATGTTTTCTTTCTTCGTTATTTCGTTTGGTTAGTTTTTTTGATGAAAGTTTAACAAATGAAGTGGAGCACAGACCATCGATCAGCATTCTTCAACTCACTCTGTCATGGGTATTCCTTTCCAGTTCTATTCAATTGTTAGTCATTCTTCGCATATCTGTCTCCATTTCTCGATGTAATGTGCTCTTTCGTTTTCTTCTTCTTCTTCTTCTCCTTTGGTCTTGAGCATTCCATATGAAGACTTGCCTTGTGAAGTAGTTGGGTGCATTTCTCAATGTGTGTCCTATCTACAACCAACACTTCTTCCTGATTTCTTCCTCTATTGGAATATGATTTGTTCTCTCCTACAGTAGGTTGTTGCTGATAGTGTAGTGTCCGGTCAACGGATCAGGAGTATTTTGCGTAGGCAACTGTTAATAATCACTTATATCTTCTGGATGATGACTTTCGTAGTTCTCCAGGTTTCCACCTCGTAAAGTAGACCTGTCTTGACATTTGTATTGGAAATTCTAACATTGGTGTTGGTGTACAGACAGTTGTTTTGAATTGCAGATGTTCTTCAATTGTAAATATGCTGTTCTTGCTTTACCGATCGGTGTCTTCACATCTACATCAGATCCACCGTGTTCATCAATGATGCTACCCATATATGCAAATGTTTTTACATCTTCTAAATCTTCTCCGTCAAGTGTGATTTGATTGGTGCATGCTGTGTTGTATCGGAGAATCTTGCTTTTCCTTTTGTTTGTGTTCAGATCTACTGCTGCTGAGGCTGCTGCTACACCGGTCGTCTTCTCCTGCATTTGTTGTTGCGTGTGCGATAGAAGAGACAGATCATATCTGTATTCTAGATCGTCCAGCTGCATCCTACCTGTCCACTGTATCCCATGCTTCCCCTCAGATGTTATTGTTTTCATGATCCAGTCGATCACCATGAGAAATAGAAAGAGTGAGAATAAGCAACCTTGCTTGACACCGGTCTTCACTTCGAACGAGTCTGTCAGTTGTCCAATTTCATTTATCAGTTATTTATTAATACTCGATCATCTCATACTTGGTACAGTTGAACTCTACTCCTCACTAGAACTTTGGTGATCACCTCTTGAAATTAATTTACTTATATCAGGAGTGAGGCAGTTAGTTACCTATCAAAAACAATAAATTACGATTTGGCAATATCACGAATTGATTGAAGTTTTACAAGTAAATCATTGGATATTGACTGATTAGTATAAAGGTCAATCGTTTGCCTCTAGACTATGAGGCCTTGATTTCGACCCTTTGTGGAATCTTGGATACACAGCTAAGAAGTCTCATACTATGTAGAAACATCTATCCAGTGTCTTATGATGTTCAATAACTGTCTGACTTAGGCCAGTTCGTGATTTCAGTGATACTCCATAATTGACTAATTTGTCTATATTATTATTATTGCTATCATTGTTATAAACTGAATTGGACCTTAGACGAAGTGAAAGATTCTAACCATACTATATGAATAAACATACATTATGTCTATACTTATGCAAGCCTGCTTTTTCCGTTACAGTATATCTGTATGTCAATATACGTATGTGCACTGAATGGTGTAATTTGGAATTCGGTAAACCTTCGAAAAACTACTGTACCATATAACCGTAGGCATTAATACACTGAGAGATGAGATATCAAGAACATATGTTTTATTTTGAAACAGCTTACGATTATTTCAAATTGTGTACAGTTGGAAAATGAGCTGGATCTATGCATCCTAGAAAGCTCGACGAGTATTCTTGAAAACACTTCAATATTAATCTTTTATACAAGTGAAAATAAAAGCAATGAATCCAGGAAGAGCATGTCATTTCAAGGACTCAGAGTTGTAGTACAATAACTTGATCTATATAGTGACAGCTATAACTCTAGGGCATATAACAAAAGCAACAAAATAAAAGCATGACTAATCAGTTAGATAATAAAAAGGATCAGTGGGGTAATATATGTTGAAGAAAATTCGCCGGGGTCTTTTATTCTCATCAGAACTATAATTTCATATCGTTTAGGACTTCGGGGTGATTGAATGCCGTCGTTCAAATTGAAATATGGTTACTAATCTTAGTGATTTTACATCATAATGTATTTTGTTTTGTGACAGATTGTGGTTTAAAATATTTAACACAACGTCCTACTAAAAAGATTTCATACTATTTGAGTACTTGTAATCCTGAATGGAATGATCCTCCACTTTATGCTCTACACAATTTCATCAGTTAAAAATGTTACAATTTAGTCACTCGGTTTACAGCTAAGTGCTTCATCGTGGATTTCAAATCGTTCCACTATGTGTACCATAGTTAGAACAACCGTCGTTACTCTCCAGTGATCTTACAAGCGTTAGCTGATAACAGCTTTGTATTCTACAGGTATCAGTTTAGGATCTATTTGGCTAACAAACTCATTTTATTTTAAAAAACAAAACAAAATCCAAATTATGTTAAGCATTTTAGTTCTTGTTTTCAGTCATCAAAGAAGCTAACACCATTAATTTATTTCTATATTAGTAAACTGCCGAATTACAAGCAGAGAGTTTCGACTATGTTGATTGTGAGATAGAAATAGTTCACAGCATTAGATGACTGTTATACAATATTATCATTTGACTGGAATTAATATTCTAAACAAGTAAATTTTAATTTGATATCCGAATAGTGTCACATTTGTCTCAACAATTGACAGTCCTGAAGCTGTAATTGGAAATATCTGAATGGTTATGGAATAATATAAAACAGGAAACTGTTCAATGTTTCCCAAGTTCTTAATGCTTATCCTGCTGATGTCAACTTATGATTTTTTGTAACAGATTATGGTTACTTTGATATCATATTGTGATCAGTAATGAAATCTCCGATGATGGGGAGTTCCATACTAGGACGAAACGGCCGTCCAGTGCTTTGAGGTTTTCCATGGTAATTTAGCTTTAATTGACACATGAATTCAACTATTGAATTAGTTTACTTTTTATTCTGGTCTCCATATCAGTGCACAATCATGATCGAATCAAGTTCTCTCGGTCTCTCAAAGATCAAGATACTGAAACAGTTAGTTTAAGGAATTCGATAGAGATCGGTATTACTTGAAAGATTTATTCATCATAAGTTTATCTCATTTGAGGTATCATGTCATGAGTGAAACAGTTTTCACTGATAGCATCACCACACAAGTCGATTGAAGCTGATATTGCAACATTGGACACTGAGCCAATGATCTTAATGGTCATAGGTTGGCCTCGAAATCTGAAGGTCTAGAAGTGCATACCGTTGAGATATCCAATATTCGGACAAACTAATCTTTTAAATTTAATGATACCTCATTGTGATCAGTTTGTAACGAATACAACTTACCTAGTGAGTTTATTATTCAGTTCAATAGTCAAATATTTAGAAAACTAAAAAAACTAACTTGACTGATAAAAATACAATCAACGATTTGTAATTAAATACCATGATTTTATTGAGATCATGAACCGATTAATGTTAGATCACCATTCAAAACCTGGAAGCACTGGACGATCGTTTCGTCCTATTGTGGGACTCCTCAGCAGTGCGCATCCACGGTCCCACCCTCGGAATTGATTGAGATTATACATGAACACTCTTGAATGTCGACCGGCTCAGTGGTCTAGAGGTTAAGGGTTCGCGCGCAAGACCAAAAGCCCTGGGTTCGAATCTCATGAGGCTGGATCGTGGATGCACAATACTGAGGAGTCCCAAAATAGGACAAAACGATCGTCCAGTGCTTCCAAGTTTTCAATAATGGTCTAACATCAATCGATTTATTATCTCAATTAAAAACTTAATAATCTCCATAATCCTATACTGATAATTACCATAATTTTAGTAACTATATAGACAATTAAAAATTTCACTTAATTATTACCTAATTATATTTAGAAAATAGCGCACATCATTAAAAGAAAATACTTGTTTTACCATTATCAATCATACAGTTGTCAATTTTAATTGGTACTAAGATTTGAACAACGAGTATATATATAAATATATATATGTGGGGAGGGTTATATAGAGAGGGGGGAACAGTGAGAGATCGAAATCAACATATTTATAATAATTCCCTTTTTTTTAATTAGTCTCTTTAAGTCACGTGTGCTTTATGGTTTCTAAGATTTCACTTGATTCATTTTATCATAATTATTTTAAAGATGTGAAATTTTTAAAAAAATGTAAATAAATCAATATGTGTATGTAACCACAGAAACAATATGCATATGAAATATGAAAATTAAACTGGGAATTTGAATTGGTTTTTTTTAAAATGAACTCATTTCATGTGATGTATATGCAAGTGTATCGATGACTGTGTGACATTCAATTTAAATATAAAGATGAATTGTAGTTTCTATGATCTAATATGATTTCATTGGGATATAGTTGTCACTATGATTGTTATAATCAATAATTGACAGTTTTGTAACTTATAACTTGGAATAAAATAATAGGGAATAAAATTTGGTAAACGTTTGTAATTTCCCATTGTTGATATTCATGACTACAGTAGATTAGTCTATGTGGTTATATGTCCATTGTGAACGTATTGTTTCGATATAGTGTTATGTCACAAGTTTTAATATATTTATCATTTGGTTTACATTGAAATTTATAATTAGTATTTCGTCCTATTTTGGACTCATTAGTTGGATGTATCTGGACCCTTATGTTAATATTCACACTGGCTATCAATTAGTAGGTTAGTGACTATCTGTTATAATGGTTGGGTTTCCACTTTTACACGTATGAAACGTTAATTTACCTTAGACGAATATCTACACTAGATTCCTTCTTAGTGTCTATTCTAAAGGACGTCAACACAACTCAGATTGAGAACACGTGATTAACCTGACCATAACGTAAATATATTTCCACACCAAAAACCCAACACAATCCAATAACAATGAACAATCCATAA